GAGAGAGAGAGAGAATGATTGTGTGTGTGTGTGTACATATCTGCGTATGTGGAAAGATAACGCGGAACAAACATGATATTCGTGGCTTTTGTTGCATTCTAGTACGAGTTTTTTTTCGTTTCTTCTTCATCGCATAAAACAAAAAAAAAAAAAAAAAAAAAACTCTTGCCATCTTTGAGACTCGACCTTTTGCTTGCATTCACGTTTTCTTTCTTTATAGGTTGATGAAAAGCACGAGCGGCTAACTGATCGACTAAACGTCTCTAGGCTACCCACGGATTTAATCGTCGAGTTTAATCCGGTGGCGAGAGTTTGAGAGGGAGAAAACGCCTAGCCGGAACGGCGAGCGTATACGAGTCATTTCAGTTGTGTCTCTAAGGATCCATTTTCTCCTTGGAATCGAATTCTCGATGTAGAAAAACCGAATACATAACATATAACACTGACGCTTTCGCCACACATTTCTTTCTTAGTTTCTCGTCGTGTGTATTATGCGTGTACGATCGTCGAGGATGGCAAGAGCGAATAGGTCGAAAGAAAGAAAGGAAAAAAAAAAAGAAAAAATCAGAAAAGTAGAACCTGCGCTTGATTATATTGATCGAATCTGCATTTTGAAAAAAAAAATGCAAAAAAAATTTATCGACAAGATATTATTATTGCGTAAGAATAACGACGAGAAAAAGAAAAAGAAAAACGTATAAATTTGCGAATATTTAACCTATCGCCGCGGATCGTCGATCCATTAAAGAGCGTTGTCCTTTGTTCTTTCTTCGGAAATGATGACAAAAAGAACAGACATTTTTCATTGGAAAAACGAAGACAGATACTTTGGTGGATCGATCAGAAATTAAGGAATTAAGCTTGCATTATTCGAAATTCTTGATGTGAGTTCGTTAACTCCTAAACTGAAGTGCAATTGTGAAAAAAAAAAAAGGAAAAAAAAAACAAGAAAAAAATGACCGTCGTTGTCCGTTTGCTTGTTCGTTTATCGATGTATGTATTGACGACGACGCGATGAATGTTGCGTGAGATATTCGTAGTTTTTTTTTTTTTTCCGTTGTCTTCGTACTCTTATTCTTTTTTCGTCTTTTTCTTCTATTTTTCATTTCTTCTCTCTCTTCTTTTTTTTTTTTGGTAGCCTAACGCATGACTTGAAGTTAATCCTTTATGAGTGATGGAAATAGGGCCATAAGAACAGTGCGTACACAACCACAATAACATTCTCCGAAACGATATATTAATAATAATCAAAATAGGCAGCTATTTAATAACCGCCGTACTCTTTGGAGATTCCCGAGTAGCGTGAACGAAGGTGCATTGATGAAACAGCGTTTCTACGTGTTAACCGATTTTAATACTTGTACTCTATCGAATCGTAGAATAGTGATTCTTAATCTGCGAACGTGTAATCATGTATTTTTTGAAATTTACGAAAGACACACTTGATGGTCTATAATTAATTTTTTATATGATACAAAGAGAAGGTATATAGCTCTTGAAGAAAGCGAAAAAGTGAGACTAGGCGATCGTTCGTTTTTCTTATTAATTTTTCTTTTTCTTTTCTTTTTTCTTATTTCTTTTTTTTTTTTTTTTTTTTATTTTATTTTTATTTTATTTTATTTAGTCCTTTTCGTTTGATCGAGTGGCTGCGAAACAATTTTGCGAAACGATTAAGAATTACTGGCATAAAGGGTTAATTTTGAATGGAAATACTTCGCTCGTAACGATTGATTGCGAAAGGAGATGTACATCAAATCAAATGCAACGTGTCTAAATCAGTTTGAACGTCTCCTACCGTGCAGGCAGTCTAATTTCGCGTTTTTCTCCGCCACTTTATGTTCATTGTAGGGATTCAAATAATTATTGATTAGAAAGAGCCGAAAAAACGAAATGTTTGTTTCAAACCGGAAATGGCGGCGATGGGAGGGACTTCGATGAAACAATAACGCGTCTCGTCTTAAATATTTTCAGAAAATAAATGAGTTTTCTTTCACGACGAGCGTTCATTGTTTCACGCCGTTTCCTGCCGTTTGCTCACCGAATTCTAGTTAAATAATGAAAAAAGAAGAAACGAAGCGTTTTTTAAATTAAACGAGATAAACGAGATAACTGTGTTGATCTTTTTTTCTTTCTTCTATTTCATTCTTCTTTCTAAACTTCAAAACCTTGTTTCATCCTCTCCTGTATATTTCTATTCAATAAAATTTTAATAATACTCAAAACATGAAACAGTTATAACATTAAACATAAAAATATTTATTTGAATTGTATTTCAATTGTATATAAAAGAAACAATATTTTTTTATCTTATAAAATTATTTTTTTCTAAAATTAAAAAATATAATTAGAATTTATATAAATAATATAAATATATAATATATAAAATGATATAAAAATGATATAAATATAAAAATAATATAAAAATAAATGATATTGAAGGTTGATTTATGCAATTATGTCGCTAAAAATCCACCATCCACTGGCAATGTAATTCCATTAATCATTGAGCTATGATTGCTTAATAAATACACTACCGCATCTACTACCTCGAACACTTCTGCAAAATATATAAGAATAGAATAAAATATAAATAATAAAACTGGTAGAAATTTATTCCAAAAATAGATTTCATAAATGAAATGATTACCTACCACCAAATCGACCTAATGGTATTTTGTCTAACATAGTTCGTGCTTTTTCCGGATCACTCCAGCCTAATTTTCCCATTTCCGTCAAAATTACTGTAGGATTAACGGTATTCACTCGAATATTATAAGGACCAAGTTCAAGAGCCATTGTCCTGGAAAGGAATAGTTATTAAAAGTGAATCTCACTTAATAAATTTTACCAATAACTATTAAAAAAAGGTAAGTAAAAAGTAAGTAGATTATAGATACATATATAAATTACAGCATAATAGATAATTATATCTCAAGTTTTTAAGATTTTTATAACATAAAAAATACAATTCATTTTTTTATTTATATTATAAAGTAATATTACAAGAAAAAATATTGAATATCTTGAAATAAATAAAAAACTAATTTTTTCTTACTTAGATAACATATCTACTGCTCCTTTCGAAGCGCAATAGATAACATGATCCTTTAAAGCTGCTTGGCTAGCTTGCGAAGAAATATTAACAATACTACCACCAACTTTTCTTTGAATCATATTTTTTGCGATTATCTGAGAAACATTTAGTATAGCTTTCACATTTACTGTAAATGTTAGATCAAAATCTTCTGGCGTAGCATCAAAGAAAGAATTAAGATGTGCAACACCGGCATTATTCACTAAGAGATCTATAGGTAACACACTTTCAACGGCTTTCCTGGTGGCGTCCCAATCGCTGAGATCGACGCAAATACATTGAATACGAGGATCTTCTGTACATAGCTTATCTAGATTGTTTTTTTCCTTGGATAGCGCTATTACTTGACCTTCATATTTGGAAAGACGAAGAGCCAAATCTTTGCCAATACCTATGATTTAAAATATTTAATATGTTAAATAGACAATGTTTTCTATGTGAAGGAAAATAATTACGAATATAACTATATATTTAGCATGAAATGAATATGAATGAATGTGATTTATAATTGGTTTATAATCATGATATAATTGAAATGTTCCTTATTTATCAATTTAAAATATAATAATTTGAAATATTTTGTAAATCAAATAAAAAAATAATTAAAAACAATTATAAAATAAGAATATTATTAGAAAAATATTAAAAAATAAAAAAATAAATATTGAAACATTCAGATAAATCTTATAATATGAATCTTATAAATTTGTGATTTAATTACAATTAGTCACATCATAATCATAAATTAATATAATTATATATGATTAATATAATTAATAAAATTCATACTAATTGAAATTTTTTTATAAATAGCACAATATATTCATGAAAATTTATTTTCAATGGGAACTGTTGTATTTCAAGATATGTATTATTATATAATCAACTTTTATCAAACAAAAAATATATAGCTCTTTCTGATTGGTTCAATTGAAATTCTTTATCAATAAAGAAATCTGCATAAACAATGTGTAAGGATTTAAAATAGAAGAGAATTTAAAATAGTATTTAAAAATTGTCTTTATTAGAAATTAAAATTTAAATAGAAAAAAGTTTACATTGAATTATGAATATGTCAACTATATACATACCTCGTCCGGCTCCTGTTACAAGAATACGTTTTCCCACAAAATTGATGTTCATGGCTATGAATGCGTTAGCAACTACTGTGAAATATTGCTTGTTAAATATATTTATTCTATTTAACCCCACCAATAACCATCAACTATCTGTATTAGTTTGATAATAAAGATGGCAGAATAAATTGGCGCTTGTTCAAATATGCTTATTATAATATTTTATATATTATATTATTATTATATATATTATTATAATATTATTCATTATAACTTTAGAAATTTATAATACAAAAATTAATTTGTTGCAATTATTGAGATAAATTTTTATTTATGATTTTTTAAAAATAATTTTTTAAAAATAAAGATAAAAATTCTTTAAATACATTTTAAACGAAATTTCAGAAGATATTTTTTTTCTTTTTTAAAAAAATTTTTTTTTATTTTTTGTAAAAATGTAAATAGTAAAAATAAAAAAGAATAATAATAATAAAGATATAATAAATAGTGATATAAAAAGGAATTTATTAACTGTTTCTATAAAAAATATTTTATAATTTTCGTCTTATGTATTTTTAAATTTTTAGCAATTATTTGAGCAATTATTTTAAATGATCGATTATCGATCATATTGATATCGTAAAAGATTCATGTTGTAAATGGTTTCCTGTCAAATTTACATTTATGTAAAAATTATACCACGAATATATTATTTTATCTTTGGAACTTTTTATTATTTTTATTTATAAATGAAATATATAAATTTTAACAAGTATTTCAGTCAATCAATAAATAAATTATGTATATTAATTCTTGAGCTAATGTATTCTTGAATTAGTGTATCATAAATTTTAACCTCTACAAAACGACATCGAAAAGCGTCGATGAATGTAATGTCATGAATTGTTATACGAATATGCAACGTAATAATGGTGTTTTGAAAATTAATGTGGCAAATACAAGGTAATATATTTTAAAAAGTAATTTCTATTGAAATTATTAAATTCATTCATTAAAATTAACATAGAATTTATATAGATACTATTGCAACTTAAAATAATTATAATTTTTTATGATTTTTCATAGGTTAGATTGGAATATGATATTTGTTCTGAAACTATTATAATTTTTATCTTCTTTATTTTTACAATAAATCCATTGAAGAGGAATATCAACATCAAAAATTATAACAGAATTTTGTATGATTAATACAATTATGAAAACAATGGCATCCGAGAACTTTTTTGGAAGTGGTGGCACATTTCATCGTGCTTTGATGTTTATGCTCAAACTTGGTTGGCAATCACGGTTTCGTCTCCCAATTCTTCTAGTTATTGTACTTGTCGCTATGGATTATAGACTTCAATTAGAAATTGAATTTGAAGTTAATCCTGAGCAACATAATCATTTGTGATTTAAGGAAAATTATTTATAAGTTAATTCTAGATTATATCATTGAAGAAAATTTTAAATCATCATAGAAAGTGCAAAAAGCTATTTTTCACTCTATAATAAGAATATCAAGGATCAAAGGGTATTGTTGATACTTTTATTCTTTTGTTATAGTTTCTAATTGTTGCAGTTTGATGCTGTGTTAGAATTATATAGGCTAAGAAAATTATTAACTAATATTAATTAATGTTTTTAATTATTCAGTATTCAGTATATCATTCTTAGAAAGAAGAGATAACATATAAGTTTTTGATTCAATTAAATTTAAAATATCAATCATTGTATCATATTATATAATTTTTACTTTTTGCTTTATTCATTATAAGTTTTAAATATACAGTAGTCCTTTGATTATTTGATTTAATAAAAATAATAAAATTTGTAATAATTAAGGGGATCAAAAAATCAGGGAATTTTATTCTTAGATCAATAGATAGATATAAACATATCATGATACAGTTTTTAGGATATATGCATTATCTAATCATTATATTTAGAAAATAAACGTTAAATATTTATTGAGTTGAATTGTTAATAGAAATGTGAATAATACAACAATATATAATTCAATTACATTTAAAAAATTTTTATTTTTATTTTCAGAAGAATAGATTTGGTTATATGATTTCTTTTTATTTTGCATTAATATTGAATCAGAATAATTTATAAATTAGATAATCGAATGACTACTGTAATAATTGTTTTATATTTATTCATTTATAATATAATATAATGTGTAATTTTTAATATTATATAATATTAAGTTATATATCTCTGAGACTGATATTTAAACAAATATCTTTATTGAAATATGAAAAAGATGTAATAAATGTGATCAAATATAAAATGGTACAGTTAATAAATAATCAAATTCTTTTGCACTGTACCTATTATCATATATTTAGTCGTCAAAAATATCCATACAAATTATATCTATTTTTGCTATTAAAACATTAGAAAATCTATTTAAAAATATGTTAATAGTTTATTCAAAAGATTTATATGATTATAAAAGGCTGATGAAATATTAACATAATTTTAATTCCTTCAATGTATGTAATTTTTTTTTTTATTGAATATTTCATATTCAAGTAGATTTTTGAAACTTGATAATTATTAAATGAATATATAATCCTATAATTTCATTTTTTACAAATGCTAATTTAAATAAAAAATAATATGTAATTAAATTTTTTAAGTAAAATAAAAATAATTTAGATTAATAATTATACAAATGGATTTTTTTACAAATATTTTATAAAAAATTATTTCATTTATTTCGTGTTATTATTTAAACATGTTATTTCATACAATACTTCAATTTTTGTCAAATATTATTATATTCATGAATTTCAATCTAATGTTAATTTTAATATATGAAAATTAGATTATTACATATGCTATGTATGTAGATTAAAATAAATATTATATGATTAGATAATATCAATTATTATGAATAAATAATAACTATTCTCAATTCTAATATTTAATTCATATATTTAACATTTTAAATAAATGTTGAAACTCGTTAATGTTGCAATTCACATTATAAACGATTTGTAAGTATTCATCGTAATTGTAAATGTAAACAGTTGTGTATTCAATATTACTAAAATAAAAAATTAAAAGATTATTTTTATAAATCTTTTTTCTATTTTTTTAGCAAAAAATTACTACATATTAAAATGCACACATATAATTTTTTTCCTGAATATAAGAATATAAAAAATAATATAAGGGTATCAAAATAAAAATAAAAATTTTAAATTTAAATCTAATAATTATTATATTAACAAATTATTTAACAATTACAGGTTTTCATATAAAACTATGATTTTACGCAGTCAATAAATTGTTGTGTCGTAATTCGTACATTTTAAAAACAATCACAACCTTCGTAATGAATCGAAACCTTTTCGTAATGAAAAAGAAATTCGTTGGCTTCACAACGAATATAAAAGATGCCTGTGCCTAGAACAATGGCAGTGTTACGTTTCTTCTTAATGACTTTTAAGCGAGAGATTAAGAATAAATTTTTAGCATGTAAGTTATTAAATTTATTAGTTTATTTAAAGATTTTACATTTATTTTATTTTATTGAATAAAATATAGTTATTTAAAATAATTGTTTTGTATAAAGGATATCGAATCTAGTTTATTTCATTATTTCAATTATAATTTCGGCTCTTGCAATGAGGACTTCTTCAGAAACAATAGAAACAGAAGAATTGATAAATAGTGTTCAATCTCCTATAATTATGGTACAAGATTATCCAAGCATGGTAATTGACCTTTCTATTTATTATATTTATGTAAAGATTTTTATTATCAGTTTCTAATTTTTCCTATTTTTATCCAAATTTTATTATACAGATTAAATCAATGCAGGATAATTCATATGATAATAATGATAGACCATGCCAAATAGAATATCAAATTGTAAGTTCATTATGAATTTTATAATCAAATGGCAAATTTATTCTTCTTTGTTAAAATTGAAATTGTAAAAAAAAAATTATTAAATTAAAATTAAATTAAAAAATTAGAAAATTGTAATTAAACAAATTAAATTAAAACTAGAAAAATGTGATATATTATTAAATTTTGCCATCTGAATTCAAATACTTTTCTAAAATAATAATAACAATATAAGAGAAGAATATTATTACTTCAATTGCAGATTAAGAAAAGAGCAGGAAAATGTGTAAAACTAAGCCGTGGAGTAACTGGTTGTGTTTCCGGTGATTACATGAATCCTTTTCATCCTGACTGCTTTTGAATTCTTATACAAATAATTTAAAAAAAAAAAATCAGCCTAAAATTACTTACCTAACCTAAAAAAACCGCCACCTTATGTTGTAACGCTTCTATCAATAAAACAGGTATCTTTCCCCGCTATATTTTCGTGTTAATCAAGATTTACCATCAGCCATTCGTTTTCCTTACTTTCTTCCGTTCCATCGAATGTTAATCAACCACCCACGAGTATTCAAGTTCTTGAAACTGATTTCATTTAAGAGTTGGCTCCCCAGGATTCGACACGTTGATCTTCACGAGGAAAAGTGATTTCCGATGTACGTGACAAAGAAAAACTACTTCAGTTTTAATTTCATTAAAATCTTATGGACTTATGGGGGTTTGCGGTGGGGCTGTCGCTATAAAATCCTTGGAAAATCGAGATCCTGTTTCTTCAGAGTTGTGAAAGAGCTGTATGGAAATGCTTGGAAAGTTTGCTTGGGTGATTCTGCTTCTCTGTGCCTTCCCGCCATGGAGCTATGGAAACTTTGCTTCCAAGAATTTTGGTAAGATTGGAAAAATCTTGAAATTTTTCCTAATTTATTTTTATTTAATTTGGAGAATTTATTTTTTTACTATGAATTTTTTTTTAATAATTAAAGTGGTATAAAGAATCTATTTTATTGTATTTTGTTAATTTTTTTTTCGAAAAATCAAAGTATGCTAAATTTGAATTTAATAATTAGATTTAGAATTTAAAGTCTTATTTATCAGTAACAGATTTAGCAAAATGAAAACTCTTGAAATTTCCGACATTTTTAAAAAAGAAAAAAAAATATATATATACAAAAAATGTAGGATTTAATTAATTTTATCTATATTATAAAATCAAAATAAAAATAATAAATAAAATAATTTCTGTTCCTCGGAAATGTCAAGAATACTTTTCTGGTAATTTTGTATATTTTAATAATATTCTTTTTTATTTTTTTTTAAATGATAAAAATTATTCTAATTCATTTAAAAATGCAAAACATTTATAAATACATTTATATTTATAAGTATAATTTTTTTTTTAGTAAATTTAAATTATTTCTACTTAGGAATATCCTAAATATTTCTATACATTATATATTCCAAATGTAAAAAATTAGATGAAAAAATTGTGTAATTCAATGACTTTTTTAAATTTGTTGTTTTGTTTAGTCACCTATTAAATCCGTCACTGTTTATTGCAGAAGAAATATTAGTCAAGTTATCTAAAGTAATCGAATACATTCATCAAAGACCTCAACAAATGAACGCCGATGTTACGTTATCTCTAACTATTGTCCAAGGTAAAACTACAATATAAACTTACAATATTGCAAATTTACAATTTTACGATTATTATCTTTGAAACATTGAACATATCATTTCAATGTTATTTTTTACAGCTAATATTGCTGCTATTTTTTTACATAAAAATGCACAATTCTTGACCGATAAACATCGAAGTATACTTACGACGATTTTAAAGCTTTGCGATTTAACAAGACGAGATTTATTAAATAAAATTATTTTAGAGAACGAAGATATCCGATTATGTAAGAAAATTTAATTTTAACGAAAGAGAAAAATATTATCGTGAAAAAATTTATTTATTTTCGAACACAATAATGAAAACGGTCAATTCATAGTGCACGAAACAATAAATTATCCCAATTTATGGATGAAAAAGATATCGTGGCGGCATGGCACTCTAATAAAAGGGAGAGCCAATATCGGATTATGTTATCGAGATATACGAGATCTGGTAATGCAAGGAGTGCCTAAAGAGGAAGAAAGCGATCGATGTCTTGTTGAAATCGTTCGAAATAAGTTTAATTCGGATCATAGAATTCCTAGTTTATGCCTCGAAATATTAACTACTCGAGAATCTACCAAAGGATATCCTCTCACTCATCGATTATTAATCGTTCAAATTGCTAAAATAGTTAGTATATCCTTATTAGAATTTTTTCAGTTTGTTCTTCTACACGTAGGATTACAAGTATCCAAAAATTTGAGAAATTATTCTTCAAGCAAAAATAGAATGAAAATTAAGAATAAAAAAAACTACATTTTTGGCTGTATCGTTTATTATTATTAAGTAACAACAAATTTTTTTATTTTTATCTTATTTTCGCTTGGAAAATAATTCTTTTCGATATCTATAATTGAAGATGCTGTGTATATCTCTAATTAAACGTAATTTCTTTTCAGATGGAATGTGACCAAGATCTTCCCTCTTCAGAATTAATACTTTTTTATTGTTCCGCAATTTTTCAAGATCTGATCGATATCGAGATAGCTGGATTTCCTTATCAAACACCAGATTTAATGATGGAACAGGGTATATAAAGAATAAAAAATACTTCAACATTTTTTTAAATTTTGTATCATTGTGTTTTTTTTACACAATTTCTTTTCTTTTCTTTTGAAAGTTGTTTTATGCGGCATCGAAGGCTTTCTTGAATTCACTGATAAGCATTATCAACGATTAATATTGGATTGGTCACATCCCAGCGGTTGCTTCAGTTCTTTCGGGTACGTTCCTTCAATGATAGATTATATTGTTTTTCTCACATTCCACTTTGAACTTTGGCATACAATCGGCCAACATAAAAATATATAATATTCTTTTTCACAGAAATAAGTTTCTTAATAACAAAATGCGCGTGATACGAAGAGCTTCGATGCAAACTGATTTCGGCTGCGATAATCACGCCACTGGTTTAGCCGCTGCCTCTCTTTCTTTATTTATTCGCAAAAGTTTAGAGAATACGTATGAGTGAACAACGGAATTATCTGTCGTTTGCATGAAAAGTATACGTGTGTACTAGCATGTATGTATAAACTCATATATACACATATGGAATAGAATCTAAAGTTACGTTTTCAGAGAAAAATAATAAAAAATTCTTGTCAGACATTTTATGTTACTTAAAAAAACAAAATATTGTAAATGTTTTTTCGTAAAATATTTCTATATAATTTGATATTTTTATTGAATTATCAATAAAATGTTTCTTGTTATCGCTTCGTTGAGAACGCACAGTTGGATGAAGAAATGAAGAGAATGTGAAGAAGAAAATGATGAAATAAAGGAATAAAAAATAAAACAAATACAAACAAATAATAATTTATTTTTCATAGTTTTCGTAACAATAGTTACAATATTATATTACGCGGTAGAAATAGAAGAGAAAAAATGGGGGGGGGGGGCAGGAAAAATAAATAAAGTCAGTCGTTAACCTTGCGTAGGAGACTGGTTCTTGCAGTGTAGCGTATATTTTTACATACGCTTAACATTTTCGTTATCCTTGAAAATGGAATCTATTTTCATCCCGCCAGGGATCAGCCTCGTCTTTTTGATATCGCAATAACGAACCGACCGTAGTGTCGGTTCTCGAAAAGAAAACGCGTTGTTTTCTCGTAGATCCATTTGAAACGCGTTTCGTAATCGTGCTTTTACCCTCGAACGATGCTCGTTTTTCGGCTCAGTATTAGATACGGTATTTATTCGTGTGATATGCTCTTATCGCGGATATATGATCGAGAGTCTCCTTTGAACCCAGTGAAGCGAATAATAGTTCCACAGCGAAACAATAGTTCATAATAAATTTCTTTAATACTTCTCAATCTCTCTTCGTTTTTCGCTATCATTCTTTACGATTGCTGTTAAAAGTTTGTGAATATGAAACGAGGTTAGAATATTCGTATTTCTAGCAATAAGAATATAAATATTTTTTATCTTATAATCTCATCTGTACAAAAATTAGTAAAAAATTTTCAATATATGAATACATGATTCATTTTGATTATTCGTTTAATAATTTATTTTAAAAATGTAAAGAAGTATTGAATTTAGATAAAATATATATATATATATAGTGATATAAAGTTTCAACTTTTTATACAGAAAAAACTGTTAAAAATAAATATATAAAAAATATCGAATATCATTCGAGGGAGCATCTTGGTGCTATAAATATATAATCTACTCATGACTATTAATCTTATTTTACAAACATGATTCTGCGGTTTTCGATAAATTCTTTATCGACGAAAGGCGTTGTCTCGTGCTTTGGTGCGATTGTGCTAATTGATCATTAAGTATATAATTTTTCCCAAAGTAATTAGATCATTTTTTCATGTAATTTAGTTTTCTTTTTTATTTTTTCTTTAAAAGAAAAAATAGTCTAATTATTTTGCGAAAAGAAAACATCTCGATCATTTTGTTCTTTGTGAAATTATCGATTTATTTTCAAGGTCTTCGATAATTATACGGTCTTCCATATGGATCGATTCGGCTGTTCATTTTATCATACCTTAATTGTTGGAAATAACTATACACTACCAGCCACAAGTATACATAGATTACTGGAAAAAAAAAACAAGATTGATTATAAATCAATTTATATTTGAAACATTTTTCAAATTATTGTGTTTAAAAAAAGCTGAAGATTATGAATGTAGCAAAAATATTCTTTTCTTTAAATATTGTTGAATCTTTGTAACTCGAAATTCTCTAAAATATTACAATTTTGCTTATTCATATTTATTCTGTAAAAATTTCTACAAATAGAAGATATAAATTAATCATTATTCGAATTTTATTATATTTAATTTGAAATTTGAATTCTTTTTCTACAATTTTACAAATAAAATTTTTATCACAGCTATCTCGAAGAATTTACGTATAAATAACTCAAACTTCGAAGATAAAATTTCCATAACCTCTTTTACCTTGAGATTCGAGATACCAAGATTCGATTATATTTTCAATGCTTTTTAATTGAATCTATAAATGATGACTTATTAAAAAGATATTCGAATAAACTAATAAAAATTCGCAAAAAAAACAAAATATATGAAAATATAAAATATCACAAAATATAAAAATAAATATACGACACTCACCAATGGTTAGGAGGCCAATGATGAGCCACAGAATTCCAATTATTACGTCATGATATACGAAGAACATGATGGACGTATAGAGGACACTCACCAATAAACCAACTGCTAATATTAAACCCAAAACTACCCATGGTAGCATTAAAAATGTTTTTTTCTGAAAAAGAATATTTTAATTTATATAAATTTAAACAATCAAACAAATTCTAAAAACTTTATTAAAAAAAATTTTATTCTATAAACTTGAAATTGATCTAGATTTTACCTTAAGAGCGCCAACTATAAGCAATGTTGAGATCAGAATCGTCATGCACAAATTTATCGCAAAAATGATCCTGACGATGCTCTGGTCTACAATGTCGATCAATATTGTTTTCCATTCGACATTTAGAGTAAAGATTAAGATTAATGAAATAATTGATAAGACCTAATAAGAATCGAATAAATATGTTTTTATAAAAATATGATAAAATGTTTTCATTAAATATGATAAAAAATTAACTTATTTTTTATTATATACTTACTATACCCAATATTCCAGTGAACAATGTCCCCGTTTTTAACGAGTAACATTTGCAACACGTTGTGAGTTGCATTCTGAAAAAAGAAAAATAATTATATCAAATAATAATATTAAATGGTATTTCAAAAAAAATTAAGATTTTTTCTTTTAATCTTTCTGTTATTTTTGTCTTTTGCAATGTATCTTTATATTTTGGCATAAATCCTTATAATAAGGTTAACAGAAAAATTAACAAATTTT